GATTGTGTGTCTGAGGTGGCATGCGAATATTTTCCAGGAGACAGTGAAAAATCTAAGATTAGGCAGCTTTCTTCCCCAAACCTTTTGGTATTTATGGTATTTGTGTTTATCCCAAGAAGAGGGAAATATCAGGCAATTTGTCACCAGTTTTTTGGCATACTCTCTAGGCCTCCTGTGTCTGGAGTACTCTTACGGCAATGCTCATGTTCCTTCTCTATTGTATGTGGAATTCACTTTCCTTTGAAAAATGTAGCTTTGTCACTGACGAGAATGTTTTCCCATGCTGGTTCCCCTTGGGTCTACATTTTGGTAACACACTGAGCAATAATATACATTTTAGTTGGAAAAAAAGTTGACCAAGTGTTTAAAAAACCCATGATTATTAAATCTAACAAGGTGACTAAGTCTGTTTTTTATGTTGTCTTTCATTTGTCTTTGTAACCTGAGTATGCCAAGATTCGACAAGGAAACAGATTCTGCACTGTATCTATTTAAGATTGTCAAAGATAATGGGTGACAGAGCAGTTTATCTGCCCATGGTGGCAGAAATGCAGTACACTGTTCAGAGGACTACAGCGCCATTAGGATACCTTGATAGCAAGTGATTGACAAGGTGTTACTGACTTGCTCTGAAAGGGATGCTTTTTAAGCTATTAGAAGCTAATGGCCCCTATCAGTTGGCAATTTGGTTACAGTTTATTTACCTGAATTAATTTGCTGTGATGGGTAGTAGTGGAAAGAAGGCAGCACTGCCATGGTGTGAAAGAAAAGTTAGAGAAATATTCTTTTGTTTGTTCAATATTCTTATGATTGAGTTAATTTAAGATAATTAAGACACAGAGTACTCATTAGCAGTGAAATTTCCCCACCCTCCCCTTCCCCTACAAAGCAGGCTGTAGGCATTCCTCTGTTTGTTCAGCCAATATTTACTGAGCATTTCCTCTGTGCCAGGCTTTTTGCCAGGGAGGGGATACAATGTTGAGGGAAAAAAAGAAAAGGCGTATAGCCTTAAAAATATGCTTGCAGATAATTATTTAGTTTGAGGCATATGGCTGTTAAATTGACAATGGTCAGCCTTTTCTTATTTCTTCTCTAATGTCAGGTGGCTCTCCCTGGGGGCCACCAAAATCATGGGAATGGCTGTGTGAACTTGCACTGTGCTTTGAAAGATGGAGAAAGACTTGGAACTTGAAGGTCATTTACCAGTTTATCTGAGTTGCAGACATGCTCCCTGCTGTCGTTCTTATAGGCTGTCTTTTCTGTTTCTTTTAAAGTTTAGGCATTGCTTTGAATAGTGGGGAGAAGGAACATATGGCCGCAATATGCAGACATAGAACAGGCTTGCAGTTCACCCCCATTTTTTTCTGTAGTTGGATTTAGAAAGCAGGTGGCTGACACTTAATTACAGAAGGAAAGTCTTTTAGGGCAATGGCAGAATTCCCTTCACACAAAAATTCTAAAGCTCAAGATCTAGCTGAAAATAAAACCTTGAAGGAAAATTCTGTTTGGGAAAGGCAATTGAGGTTATATTAAATCTGTATGGTTTGCCTACCCCCCCCCCCGATTTGTTTATAAGATTCTCCTCTCAGCCCACATGGCTCCAGAACATATAAATAAGATGTGAAACATCCATTCAATCATTTGGGTGCCTTGCCTACTTGACGGCATGATTGTTGGAATATGAATACATTTGTATTTTAATTTTATGACCTTGTAGATAAAATATGAAAATGGAATCATGGAGGTAAAAAGGATTTACCCTATTTTTTGTTTAATTCCTCATTTTGTCAAAGGAAAGACTGAGGCTATTTGCACAGTATCCCATAGCAAATTTTAACAACAATAAAGCTTGGATTCAGGAATGGTTTTTCTGATTCCAGTCCATGTCCCTCTAAATTCTATTGTTATTCATGATGGCCTGTTTTTTTTTTTTTTTCTTTTCTTTCAGGTTTTTATCCAGAAGCATGGGATCATGTAGACCAAGGTTTTAGGCCACACCCTATATTGTCTGGGATGTTTAGTAAGATTTCACTGAATGGGAAAAATATTTGTTCAGGAAAGAATAGATCAGAGGGTTGTATAGCTTTTACATATGTTCAACTATATACGCTTTCATAGCTCAATTTATCCGTAGAAAAATACAGTTTCATCAACTGTGAACATTTACAGCCTGTCTTTGTTTTGTTTTGAGGAGTGCAATTAGAGGCAGCAAGCCAAATACTCTTACCAGATCTGTTACCTGACTATGAAGTGGGATTCTTTAGGGATCATTTAAAGTATGGTGATAACTAATGTTCAGAATGTGGACATACCTTGGCACAGGCTATTCCCTCTTTTTCGAATATCTTTCCCATATTCTCTCCTTTTAAAACAATGCTAGCTGCTGGTATGTAATTTAATATTTAAATAAAATTGTTGCAGACTCTCCTCCCCCATGTGGGGAAGCTTACCATCCCTCTCACTATCTATGAGGATTCTTGCCAGGGGTGTGGTGGCTTTCTTCTAGTCACCTCTGGCTTCAGTTTTCTTCTGCTAATAAATTTATGATCCCTGATGTGTACTGTTCCTTTTCTGCACGTCATCTTATTCCTATATTCTCGCAAAGTACTGTGGATTCAAGATTTCTGTGTAACAAATTATCCCTAACTTAGTGGCCACAAATGCTTATTATTTCATCTCATTTCTGTGCATTAGGAATTTGGGAGTAGCCACCTTACCAGGTGGTTCTGGCTCAAGGTCTCTCAGGAAGTTCAGGAAGTTGCAGTCATGGTGTCAGCTGAAGGAAGCTGAGTCATCTGAAGGTTTGACTGGGGCTGGAGGATGCCTTCCAATATGACTCATTCATGGAGTGCTGGTAGTTTGGCAGGAGGCCTGAGCTCCAAATCGGGGATTCCTCTTTCCTTGTGTAGAAAAATTCAGCCTTTTTTTCCTCTTCAGCTATCTAGATCATGCCCTAAGGACTTGACATTTTCTTGGTCACAAAAAGACCTGGAAACAAAAATGGGGAAGCTTTAAACTTCTTAAGGGGAGAAGGCCCTATGAAAACATAAATTTTTATATTTGATGTGTGCACATTACATGCTTAACCCAAGTAGTTTAATGATCATACATGAAAGAAGGAAAAAATAATAACTTTCATAAAGCTTCAGTTTTTAGAATTTTCATTCCTATGTTTAACTTTCTAGAACATCTATAGCATCTGAGAAATTTCTGATGATGGGAAAAGAAATGCCCAAACAGCAAAGTAGATTAAAAAAGAACTAAAACTCATACATTTTGGGGGAAAATTAGTAGTTTTTTTGTTTTTTGTTTTTTTTTTAAAGATTTTATTTATTTATTTGACAGACAGAGATCACAAGTAGGCAGAGAAGCAGACAGAGAGAGAGGAGGAATCAGGCCAATGCGGGGAGCAGAGAGGCCAATGCGGGGCTCGATCCCAGGACCCTGGGATCATGACCTGAACCGAAGGCAGAGGCTTTAAGCTACTGAGCCACTCAGGCGCACCCCCCCACCTTTTTTTTTTTTTTTTAAGATTATTTATTTATTTATTTGACAGACAGAGATCACAAGTAGGCAGAGAGGCAGGCAGAGAGAGAGGATGGGAAGCAGGCTCCCCGCTGAGCAGAGACCCTGATGCGGTGCTCGATCCGAGGATCCTGGGATCATGACCTGAGCCAAAGGCAGAGGCTTTAACCTACTGAGCCACCCAGGCGCCAAATTAATAGTTTTGATATAGTTTTAGTTTTAACGAGAGTGTGAGTAGTTTTTAAAAACAGAAAATGCAATAAATCTCAATCTTATAATGATATGTATTCAGTAAAGATTGCTAATTTAAAATGCGTTTTGGTTCTCTTACATAGTTTTTTCCCCTAAAAACACATTTATCTGCAGTAACTCTTTTACTCTTTCTGCTCCTTAAATTTTGAAACATCAAGGGTTTGCCTATAATTTTTATAGTTGTTACAGAGAAAAAAATAATTTAAGTGTTTTAAAGAGAAATTTAAAAACATAGTTTTTTTATTTTTTCAATTTTTTGTTTATTTTTTTAAAAAGTGGGCTCCACAACCAATATGGGGCTCAAACTCAGAACCCCAAGATCAAGGGTCATGTGTTCTACTGACTGAGCCAGCCAGGAGCCCCTAAAGATAAATTTTTTTTTTTTTTAAAGATTTTATTTATTTATTTGTCAGAGAGAGAGAGATCACAAGTAGGCCGAGAAGCAGGCAGAGGCAGAGGGAGAAGCAGGTTCCCTGCTGAGCAAGGAGCCCGATGCGGGACTCGATCCCAGGACGCTGGGATCATGACCTGAGCCGAAGGCAGCCGCTTAACCAACTGAGCCACCCAGGCGTCCCAAGATAAATTTTATTTTTTTTTTATTTTTTTTTTTTAAGATTTTTATTTATTTGACAGACAGATCACAAGTAGGCAGAGAGGCAGGCAGAGAGAGAGAGAGGAGGAGGAGGCAGGCTCCCCGCTGAGCAGAGAGCCGGATGTGAGGCTCGATCCCAGGACCCTGGGATCATGACCTGAGCCGAAGGCAGAGGCTTTAACCACTGAGCCACCCAGGCGCCCCCCAAGATAAATTTTAATCAAAAATAATTTATATACTTAGAAAAACTTCTTGAATATAACCAGCATTCAGTGTTTTATGATGATGTTTAATAAGTTTTAAACCATACTTGAAACTTTCTCTGAATGTAATATAAATAAATGTGAGATTTACTATGTCTTAGATATATTGCTATTTCTGCAGTCATTTGACTACATGATTTATGGCAGAATTTGGGGAGAATATTGCAAATGTGACTTCAAGGGTAGTTTTTTCAAATAGGTATTTAAGAAACAATGAACTTAGTCCTCGAACTATGTGTACCTCTTCTAGAGAGCTTCAAGTTAAATCAGCTGCAAAATTCAGCAGGGAAAAATGAACTGGGTTATCCATGTCTCAAAGGTACCAAAGAAGTAGAACAGCTGTCTCTACTATCTCCAAGCATGAAATCAAGATTATTTTACTTACAGTTTAATCTGAAGGGGCTTATTTACAAAATGCATTTATGTGACAGCTTGATATGCTTTATTTTTCTGCAGGACTCGATTACTGGAATTGTCAACTTTGTTGATGTATGTGCACATTTCTCCTCCACTATGAGCAGACCAATTGTAGTGCACAGTTGTCTGGCCTTCTGGAGCCTTGTGCTTCTCAACTTTGCCACACAATGTGTGGCCTTCCCCAAAGTGGAAAGAAGGGAGATAGCGCATGTTCCTGAAGAAACAGGGCAGCCTGAGAGGATAAACACAGATGACCTAGAAAATGACCCTCTGACTTCCAAGTGCCCTCCCCAGTTGGTGGTCTCTGAAGATCCAGTGATGGTGTTAGCAGAACCATCAGCAACGTCCTTAAAGAAAGTATTGCCTACTAACAAAGAAGTCCATCCAGTAGGCGGTGGGCTCATGCAGCCTAACAGCCCTGCCTTGTACACTGGTGCTGAGACAGTCCTCCCCGGCGAGGAGGAAGTGTTTGTTTCCAGCCAGCCAGAGAGGGTGTCTCCCGAGAGCCGACTTTTCAAGGCCATGCTGATCAATCCTATCCCTGCAACTGCTCCTCTGAATATCGATCAGAAAGAAGAACGCTTCGGTAGTACCGTCATTCAGCCCATCATAGAAGGGACCACAGAAGAAACACAGGGTTTTCTGAACTATGTGGATGACCAGTTGTTTGCAACTGAAAGTCAGGAAGGAGTTAGTCTGGGACATTCACCTTCATCTGATGTGAATACTAAAGAAATGCTAACTGCCAGTCCCAGGACCGAGAAATCTGAAACAGATACAGAACACAGGGCAGCTTTTTTCCCCAGTGTTGAACCCATAGTGGGCACGGAGCCTGGAAGCCCCATGCCTGAGAGGGAGAAGCCTTTGCCGATGACAGCTGATCATTCCCAGACCGCGGCCACCAAGCACTGGCTCACAACCTCTGAGTACACCCTGAGTGTTGAGCCAGAAACTGACAGGCTGCTGGGAGCCCCAGGAGTCCCAGGGAGTGTCAGCACAGCTGTTCCAGCTGCCTCTGTCGGAAGTGATGAGTGGGATGACACCAAATTAGAGAGTGTAAGCCAGATAAAGACTCCAAAGCTTGGAGAAAGTATAGAGACTCAGATGGGAATGGAAATGTCTCAGACAGCCCAAGAAACTGATAATGACCCTATGGAAGGTCTGGAAGAGGGCGAACCTGTGACAGAGGCTGCAGAGGTGGCTCTGGGGCTGCTGGAAGGGGAAGAACCCATGGGGACAGCCCTGCTAATGGCACACGGGGAGGCGCTATCCTCTCCCTTTGCCGATCAAAGTTCTTTTACTCCCACAAGTCCTGTGGAAGATAGGAAAGTCTCTGTTGTCAGCCTCTTCCAAGATACTGCAGACTTCATGGAGTCCACTAGGGAAAATGATGCAGTGGTTTTCTTAGAGACCACTGTTTCCATCTCAGAATATGAATCTGAGGCACATCAACCACTGGGAAATACACTGAAAGGTAAAAGAAAGAAAGACAAACAAGCTTTGTTTAATTTGGAATGTTTCCATCTGATTTTATTATTATTTTAAAAAAACTGAGATGTAATTAACATATGACATTGTATTAGCTTTAGCTCTTGTTTTATGTTTTTTTTAAAGTGATTATTATTATTTTTTTAAAGATTTTATTTATTTATTTGACAGAGAGAGTGAGAGAGAGAGAGAGCACAAGCAGGGGGAGCGACAGAGGGGAGGGAGAAGCAGGCTCCTTGCTGAGCAGGGAACCTGATGTGGGGCTCGATCCCAGGACCTGGGATCATGACCTGAGCTGAAGGCAGAAGCTTAACCTACTGAGCCACCCAGGCACCCCTGTATGTTGCTTTTTTAAATTCCATTAAGAGAGTTGGGTCTCCATGACCATGAAGATACTGGATATGACTGAACAAGAATTACTTCGATTTTCCATAACATTTTAAGATATTCCTGGAGCATTAAGTCATATAGTTCCAGATTATTCATCACATAATTGAATCTGTGATTCTTATGTATTAGAATTGCATTAGCTTATATAATAGGGCCTAAAAAGTAAAATGAATTTGGTGATTGATTATTATTTTGATTATTGAATATACTCCTTACTTAGTCATGATTGCCTTACTTAACTACAGTCTCTCTCTTTTTAAAGTTTTTTAAGTTTATTTATTTTTTTTACTAAGTCTACACCCAATGCATGGCTTGAACGTACGAACCCTGAGATCAAGAGTCACATGCCCTTCTGACTGAGCCAGCCAGGCGCCCCTCAACTATAGTCTCTTAATAGGCAACTTCTTTTTATTCCCAGCACATGGCACAATATCTGGCACCTAGTAGGTGCTTCCTAAATACCAAGTCAGTGGATGTGTAAATGGAGATAGAGAACCATTCAGACTGAAATTACTCTATTTGACTGCCTGCATTATTCAAATTAATCAAAAAGTTTCTAGATGTTCTTTGTAGAAACAGTTAAATAATTCCTTTCACTTTATTTTTTTGTTGTTGTTCAACAAAAAGAACGTGAAAAACAGATTACTGACAACAGTAGTTAGAGAATAGCCAAAAATCTTTTTACCTATTTTCTGGTGATTATACATCTTTTCCAAAAGTAGACAACTCAAATGCTAATCATTTAAGGGCCCAGGGACTACTTAGGACATTACCCTCTGCAGAATATGCAATGATTTCTTTGTGGTTTTGGTTACTATGAACAGATGAGTAACCTTAGGTCATCATCAGTTCTCGGATTCAGCTTATTCCACGGGTTCGGGTGAAGATCAGGTTTTAAAAGTTATCTATAAAAATTATCATATTATTATTTTTTCTCTACAGGAAGTAGAATAAGAGATGTGGAGAAATTTTGAATGATAATTTTAAAATTTCCATCACTATTTCTAGTTCTTACTCTTTTTTTCTCTCATAGCAGTCACCATTCAAAGTTGGTATTTACTGAATACTTGTACAAGTACTGGGGTATGTGCTAAGTGCTTTACATGCATTATCTATTTTATTTACTTATTTAAGAGAGAGAGAGCGAGAGAGAACGAAAGAGAGAGAGCACACATGCAAGAGCTGGAGCTGGGGCAGAAGGGCAGAGGAAGAGGGAGAGAGTTTCAGGCAGACTCCTTGCTGAATGCTGATCCCAGAGCCCAGGGAACAGGGAGTGGCTCTATCTCAGGACCCTAAGGTCATGACCTGAGCTGAAACCAAGGGTCTGATGCTCAACGGACTGAACCACCCAGGGGCCCCTGAAGCCTGGATTCTTTTTTTTTTTTTTTTTTAAGATTTTATTTATTTATTTGACAGAGAGAGATCACAAGTAGGCAGAGAGGCAGGCAGAGAGAGAGGAGGGGAAGCTGAGCAGAAAGCCCAATGCGGGGCTCGATCCCAGGACCCTGGGATCATGACCTGAGCTGAAGGCAGAGGCTTAACCCATTGAACCACCCAGGCACCCCTGAAACCTGCATTCTTGACTGCTCAGATATATGGGTTCCATGGAATGATATTAGTATCTATCTCTCCTTAGTATACATTGGAAGAGAAAATAAGATGATGCCCACCATATACTTAGCAGTGTGTGTCTACAGCATATAATAGAAATATATGTGTATCTAGCATATAATAGAAACTCAGTAAACATTAGTTACTGTAATAATTATTCTTTTATTAAAAATGCAGACTTTCCCCTTTAGAAATACAAATGTGAAAATTAATATATATATATATATATATATAAATGCTGAGAATTTTTGAATATAACTTAGAACTGTATAATTTGTTTCTTAACAAACTGGCTATGTTGATATTTATAAGAGGGAGATCAACTGTTGATCTTTCTATTTTGTTTTGGATTTTGTTTTACACATTAAATTCTTTATCTCAGTCTTAGATTGATTCATCGCTCCTGAAAGCAGGAACACTGAAAATATTTATTTGCTGGCATTTTGTGTCTGAGCGATCTGTTGGCCTTCCCATACCCTGAAATAGCTATCTTCTTCTTCTTCTTCTTCTTTTTTTTTTCAGTTTATTAATTACAGAGTGACATTTTAAGGTATAGGGAATTTGTCTATTTTAAAATGTTGTATCCCCCCTTTTAAGACATCATCACTCAAGAGATGACAACAGCTGTTCAAGAAGTAGAAGCCACTTTATCATTGGTGACACAAGAGCAGCAGGTTTCTACCCTCGAGGTTACTGGAGAAAATGGTAAGATTGAGGAAGGAAAAGAGTCCCCCTCTGCCACATCTGGTGTCCCTACTGTTACTCAGCTGTCGAGGAGATGGGAGCCTCTGCCCTCTACAGTTTCAACTACAGCCGTGCCGTTGTCTTCCGAAGTTACTTCTGCTCTGGAAGGTTTGTAAGGAGGGGGGACTTGGACTCAGTTTGGGAGTGGATCTTTTCTGAGTTAATAAGGAATAGAATGAGTGTGGCACCTGGCTCTGTCCCCAGGGTACACACACATTTCATCTGGAGAATGAACTGGAAAGGTGCGTGAGCTCTGTCTTGTTTGGAGGGATGTGGCAAAGCCTGACAGGATGAGGAGTTAGTTCCCAGGTAAAATGAGATGGCGCATCGCTGGGGCTTGGGAAGGCCAGACCTCCTGAGAAGCTCTCCTTGTTTGACAGCACTGGCTGCTAGGAGCCAGGGGGTGAAGTGAAAACAGTGAGGACCTCAGTTCAAATCTCAGCTTTGGCCCCCACTAATATTGTGGCCTCAAGCAAGTCTCATGTCTCCAGGCTTGGTTTGTGCATCTCTAAATAATGCTTACCTGACTTACAGGTTATTTTAAGGATTCAAAATAATGGCTGCAAAGTGGTTTCCATATAGGAGGCCCTCAAATACTCTTATCTTAAGGAGAGCAAAATTTTTAAATCTTGGTGATCATCAGAAACACCTGAAAATTACAAAAATTATTATCATTTAAATATTGTTTTTGGCCTCATGTCTCTATCTCATTATTGGTCTAAGTCTACTTTTATTTATTAACTGAATTATTTATTTATTTATTTTAAAAAAGATCTTATTTATTTATTTGACAGAGAGAGACACGGTGAGAGAGGGAACAGAAGCAGGAGAAGTGGGAGAGGGAGAGTCAGACTTCCCGCTGAGCATGGAGCCTCATGCGGGGCTCCATCCCAGAATCCTGGGATCATGACCTGGGCTGAAGGCAGAGGCTTAATGACTGAGCCACCTAAGTGCCCCTAACTGAGTTTTTTTTAACAAGATAATAAATATCTCCTAACCCTGCCGCTCCAAAAGACACTTTGGGGCCTAGTTAGTAACGTAGATGTAACCCCATCCACCCTCTTCCTCCTCTGATGTTAACTGTCATCCTGAATCTTGTGTTCCTCATTTCCTTGGTTTCCTTTTATCTTAGTTTTTTTTTTCCTTTTATCTTAGTTTTATCATGCCTGTATTCATTCCTCAAATTATGCATTTAAATATTTTAGTAGTTTTTAATTTTATAAAAACAGTATTGTGCTGCAGATAACCTTTTTGGGACTTGCTTATTTTACTTAATAGTCTATGGCTATGATTTACTTGCTATGAATCTTCTGTTTTGACTATTTATAATATTACACTATGAAAATAGATCACAGTGTATTCATCTCATCTTCACCCAGTCTCTCCTAGCAATTTGCATTAAGGTCATTTCCAGGTTTGGCTTTTGTGAACATTGCTTGCTGCCGTGTATACCCTCTTATATATCCTCCATTGGACACGTGCAGGAGATTCTCTTGGTTATAATCCTAGAGCCCCAGGTTTAGGTCTGAATGTTTGACTCTAGCGGGCAATGCCTCACTATTTTCCAAAGTGGTTGCACCAGTGTATGTTTCTAACAGCAATGTATGTGAGACTCTGCATCCATATCCTAGAAGCTTTAAGAAACAGTTTTTCCGGCTTCACTACAAAGGGAATTCTGATTGAGGAAGTTGGGATATGTGGAAAGCATGGAGGTGAACTTCTAAAAAATTACCTCAGAGATTCTGATGATCTACCAAACCTGCAAAATAATACTATTCTAGAGTTTTTTTTTTTAATATTTGGGAAAACTTAGGGCTAAATTTGGCTGCATTGGAATTGAGCATATTCTAGACAGATATCCTTACCCTTTCACTTGATTTTTTAAAGTTGTCTTTGGCATATATTTTAATACTTTTTTGTTACTGTCTTTGGCAGTAAATCAGATAAAATTGTACAAAATTCCTAATATTGTCAATAGAGTAAATGGGAAATGAAAATTTGAAAAGAAATTTCTGATTTGAGACAGTACAATTTCCTAGACGATAAAGTGCCTTGTATAGCGGGATTGATGCACTATGGGAAGGGGGGAGCTGGTCTAAATGCCAGACTTAATGTATATAAGATACTGGTTTCACTGATCATTTCTTGCTTGAAAAGCGGAAAGGCATGTATACATTTCTCCTAATGATCATCTTTGGGTAAGGTGCTGTCTTTTGTGTTTGACAGAACTAATAGACACCATCACGGGGCCAAACGAGGAATTGTTCACACCAGTTTGGGGCTCTCCGGTGACTCCCCCTGGAATAATAGAGGAAGCCCCCAGCCTTTTCCCAGCACTTCCTGATTCTGAGGCGTCTTCGGAGAGCAGAACCGTTGTCCCATCCATTAGCCATGTTAATACAGCTGCCTCATATGGCCTGGACCAACTTGAATCTGAAGGTACCCATGTTTTGAAGGGGGTCTTTTCTTGGACTGATTGATGGAGTCACTGAGCAAATGTTGTTTTTGAGAAAAGATTAAGGAGCAATGTATTCCATCTGCAGTGTGGATCCGGGGTCAATAAACCGTGGCCGGGCCAGATCTGGCCTGCCTTCTATACGACCTGCAAGTTAAGAATGATCTTTACCTTTTCAAATGATTGGGGAAAAAAATTAGAAGAAGAATAATATTTTGTGACATATAAAAGTTAAATAAAATTCAAATTTCAGTGTTCCTAAATCAAGCTGTCTTGGGACCCAGCGGCACGTGCATATTTATATCTTGTCTGTGGCTACTTTTGTGCCAGATCAGCAGAGTTGAATAGTTTTGACAGAGACTGTGCACAAAGCCCAAAACATTTATGATGTGGCCCTTTACTGAGAAAGCTTGCTGATCTCCGGTCTAGAGCAGTAGCTGTTAACTACGGGTGAACATCAGGATCACTTTGGGGAGCTTTTAAAAAAATCCTAATGCCTGATTCCTCCCAGGGATTTTGATTCCATTGATGTAGGAAGTAGTCTGACATCTACATTTTTATTTTTATTTTTAAAGACTTTATTTATTTATTTGACAGAGAGGTAGAGAGCACAAGCAGGGGGAGCAGCAGGCAGAGGGAGAGGGAGAAGCAGACTCTCCACTGAGCAGAGAGCCCAAAATGGGACTCGATCCCAGGACCCTGGGATCATGACCTGAGCCGAAGGTTTAACTGACTGAGCCACCCAGGTGCCCTGCATCCACATTTTTTTTTTCTTAAAGATTTTATTTATTTGACAGAGATCACAAGTAGGCAGAGAGGCAGGCAGAGAGAGAGAGAGAGAGAGGAAGGGAAGCAGGTTCCCCGCTGAGCAGAGAGCCCGATGCGGGGCTCGATCCCAGGACCCTGAGATCATGACCCAAGCTGAAGGCAGAGGCTTTAACCCACTGAGCCACCCAGGTTCCCCCTGCATCCACATTTCTAAAGAGTACTCAAGATGACTAAGATCTGCAGGCTCCATTGAGGATGCTGGTTTATTTTTTTTTTATTTTTTTATTTTTTATTTTTAAAGATTTTATTTATTTATTTGACAGAGAGAGATCACAAGTAGACAGAGAGGCAGGCAGAGAGAGAGAGAGAGAGAGGGAAGCAGGCTCCCTGCTGAGCAGAGAGCCCGATGCAGGACTCGATCCCAGGACCCTGTGATCACGACCCAAGCCGAAGGCAGCGGCTTAACCCACTGAGCCACCCAGGCGCCCGAGGATGCTGGTTTAAATGGAAACATTCAAGTTTCCCCACCAGATTTTCTTAGGTGGAAACTTTAATGTGGATTGTATTTTCACAGCACTGCTCTGGTTGTTAGTCCTGGGATTTTGTTTTTGTTTTTTTCTTCATGAACATTTCCGGGTTAGGAAGTTGTACTATTTGGAGAGGGTCAATCTCTTCACCTGTTAAGATTGAGAAATGCATGCCAAATTATACTTTCTGAGACATTGGGTGTGAGCATGAAAAAGAGGCCTGGAGCCCAGCTGCACACCACAAACATGCAGACTGGAAATATGATGAAAGGTCATTTAATTAATCAGCATTTTGGCAGGTGGTACAGAATGTCCAGAGATTTGTGATGCTGAGTTTCTAAAATGAATCTAGAGGACAGGTAAGCTTTTGGGCACAGCATTAACCATGGGCTTGCTGCAGTAAAGACATATGATGTGCTGTTATATGATATTTTGTCTCCTATAGAACGGGGAAAGGGGCTCAGCCAGTTTTGCCGCAGACTCTATCTCAGGGTAATGCTGGCAGTTCTCTGGCAGAGAAACATGACATTTTAGGAGTATTCTGGAGAACTCCATAGTAGAATGCTGGTTTAAGAAATGGATAAAAGCAAGCTCTGAGGCTAACAGCTCTTACACTCCACGTTGAGATAAAAATGGTATGACTTTGAGATTAATCTCATATTAACTGTAGACTCTCCTTGACGCCATCTGGAAAAAGCAGGTTCCCCCGAATTAACCTGAGTTAGAGATGACAGCTTTACCCGGCAGGGCTCATTAAATCAGAGAAAAAAATATATTTGTGAGTAATCCATACTTGTGAAACTGCAATAATTTTCTAAATTTAGTAGATGATGGCAGTTGCATTGAAATATGTGAGAATTTTCTTGACTTGCTGAAGATGTCCTGGAGTTTTAGTGCTTCTCTTCTACACAATTTGACTCCAGCTTCTTTCTGAGAATGTATTTTGTCAGTTTTTGATTGAAATTACAAGCCTCATCAAAGTTTTTGAAAGACATTTTTGGTTTAAAAATATTCTTTCTGTTACATTGTTGGGCGGAAGATAAGATTTTGAATGAGCACACCTTTCCCCCTAGATCCTGGGAAGTACCATTTATGTTTAATTAGTGTACATTATTAATGTCACGATTAATTTTATGCTGGTGTGTCTACTCCTTTGAACTATACTTATTTAAACAGATAAGCCTACTAGACTCCTGAATGTGTGGGGGACCTCCAGTTTCAGTACATGTTTTTCTACCTTGCCTAGGAATGTAGGCTTTGGGGGAAGGGTTTTAATTCTATTGTAGGTTTATACCCAGAGGCAGATAATTTATTCTTACCCAGACTGTGAGTTGTGCCATGTCAAGTTACCTACCTTTCCAAGTTTTAATCTCTGTGATGAGTTGACACATGACATACAGCTCTCCAGCTTAAGATGTGTGTTTATTTAATTATATTATTAAACTCCTCGTATGTTATTTTAGTATCTTCTTTCCCACTAGAGGACAGAAGCACTTCTCCAGAGAATGGAGTCTTTTTCTCAATGGGATATGGGCAAAATCTGCCCTTATTAGATAGCAGACAACCAAGAAGCCAAGAACCTTTGTGGAAATTTCTGAATGTTTATCCTTTAAGGGATAATTAATGGCTCAAATGAACCTCAAATTTGTATCTAATTGGCACCCTGTTGTCTTTGTCACCTTTATGTCTCTACAACATAATCACCAAGCATCTTAGTTTTCTAGGGCTACCATACAAAATACCACAAACGGGATGGCTTAAAACAACAGACATTTATTCTCACGTGGTTTTAGAGCCTGGAAGTCTGAAATCAAGGTGTGGGCAGGGCCCTGCTCCTTCCAGTGCCTCAAGATGGGGGAATCATCCCTTGCTTCCTCCAGCTTTTTAGTGGCCTCATGAGTTCCTTTGTTTGTGGCAACATAATGGCAACCCCTGCCTCCATGTTTACGGGACTGTGGTCCCTCAGTGTGTCTCTCTGCCCTGATTTCTTACAAGAACACCAGCCATTGGATTAGGACCCATCCCAATAACTTCCTCTTCACTTGATTATATCTGCCAATACCCCATTTTTGTTTTTTAAAGATTTTATTTATTTATTTGTCAGAGTGAGCACAGGCAGACAGAGTGGCAGGCAGAGGCAGATGGAGAAGCAGGCTCCCCGCCGAGCAAGGAGCCAGATGTGGGACTCGATCCCAGGACGCTGGGATCATGACCTGAGCCGAAGGCAGCGGCTTAACCAACTGAGCCACCCAGGCGTCCCCCAATACCTCATTTTTGAAGGTCATGTTCACAAGTACAACAGGTTATATATTTTTTGGTGGGGATGCGATTCAGCGCATAACAAGGGTCTGCTTCTGAAAAGTTTGCCAGCAGGCTCTGAAGGCAGGCATGAGCTCTGTCTCTGCAACACCCACTGGAGAGATGTGTACTGGGAGAGCAGGAGTTTCATTGTGTTTTACATTTCTCTGTTGCTGAAGAAAGCCTGCCTCAATATGTGCATTTTGCCTCTTGCCTATTTTGGTCTGTCTTTTCCCTTGTCAGCAAAAATGCTGTGATTTTTGAAGGGATAATGGTTTCTCTGTTACCTTGCCTGATACACTTTACTTCTCTGTCCTTTTTTTTTTTTTTTTTTTTTAAGAGAATAAATGTTTTCAGGGTGATAAAAAAAATGCATTTTACTTATCTCAGACATAACTCTACTAGGGCCATATTCATCATCTTTGACATATAAACATGACAAAGGTGTTCTCATTTTTTATTAGAATAGGATAATGGCAGATTAGTTGCATGTATATAACTACCATAAATGAATTTTTGGACATGATCTCTGTATAGGTTGAGATCCTTTTTTTTTTCTTTTTGCAAATATTAATGCCTTTCTCTGCTCCAAAATGGGAACTTAACAATGAAAATGAAAATTTGCTTGGAATTTTTTTATCTGGGTTAACTGTCTTGAGCAGATTTTAACCCTAATAGCAAATGGACTGGGTCTTTCAATATTTCTTACTTAAAGAAGTTCTACTTTTATTATTATTATTATCATTTTTTAATTTAAAGATCCATTTATTTGAGAGAGAGCATGCACGTGTGCACATGTGCAGGCGTAGGTCAGGGGAGGGGCAGAGGGACTCTTTAAGCAGATTCCCTGCTGAGCATGGAGCCCCTAGCGGGTTAATCCTACAACCCATGAGATCATGACCTGTATCAAAACCAAGAGTCAGTTGCTCAACTGACTGAGCCACCCAGGAGCCCCCCCTGCTTTGTATTTTAGAAATCCAGTAGCCTTTCTTGTATTCCCAGAGAAGGTGGGCATTTATCTGTGCTGTAAAATTGTAACAATAATTCCATAGGGTGGAGGGTTATTGCTTTAACAATGAAATGTTCAGAACAAATCAATTTTGGGATTACTTGTAACAAGTACTAGGCTTCTAAGTACATGCAGGAAGCAAAAACAAAGATTTCTTGTGATTCAGTTTTGGTGATCCTTTCTCACACCCCCAACCTTGTTCCCTTAATGTTTGGAAGGCAGTATCTGGGCCTTCCAGCTAGTGGGAGATGGGAAACTACTTGGTGCTCATCATGGTGCTGACCAGACAGACTTGGGAACATGGTGAATTTGCTTGGATTCTCTCAAGATTGCTCTGGGTTAGCTTATTGCTCTCCTGTAAGAGAAGAAGCAATACCACTGTCCCTAGGCTGGAGAAGGTGAATGATTGATCTGACTGATCCTATTTAATGTCTTTCTATAGGCATAATAGGCTGAGTGTTGGGGCTGTCTAATCCAGTGCCATTATCCCAGAAAGTTCCCGTTTCCTCATGTTTCCAAAGGCCCATTTATTATAGGCTTTATTGAACAAATCACGGTAATCGACTTGCTGGAGAATTACCTTTTTTTTTTTTCCCCTAAACTTATAGTATATGTTATATGTAAACATATAACATATTACCTTTTTTAACATATAAAGAGATGTTTAATTCTTAGTATCTGACAGGAAAGTCATATTCAACCTTTCTTTAGCATCTTGTTTTTTTATTATTTTTTTTAAAGATTTTATTTATTTATTTGACAGAGATCACAAGTAGGCAGAGAAGCAGGCTCCCCACTGAGCAGAGAGCCCAGTGCAGGGCTCGATCCCAGGACCCTGGGATCACGACCTGAGCTGAAGGCAGAGGCTTAACCCACTGAGCCACCCAGGCGCCCCTAGCATCTTGTTTTTTTAAAAAAATAAGACTTTATTTAACTTTAGTTTTTTCTTTTTTTTTTTTTAAAGATTTTGTTTATTTGACAGAGAGAGAGAGAGAGATCACAAGTAGGCAGAGAGGCAGGCAGAGAGAGAGGGGGAAGCAAGCTCCCTGCTGAGCAGAGAGCCCGATGCGGGGCTCGATCCCAGGACTCTGAGATCATGACCCGAGTTGAAGGCAGAGGCTTTAACCCACTGAGCCACCCAGGCGCCCCTAGTTTTTTCTTTTTAACTAAAAAAAATAAGACTTCATTTAACTTTAGTTTTTTCTTTCCTGATAATTTTTTCCCCTTGTTTTTTGAATACCATTTTGGTTGTCCTTATATTTAGGTTTTCAAAAACTGCATTTTTGACATCATTTCCCAGCCCCAGGCATCACACATAGGGCAGAAATCTGTCATTGTCGTGTCATTTGTTGTTTAACCTATTTTGGTGACACCCATTTTCCTGCCTTTGTGAGTGTGTGTGTGTGTGTGTGTGTGTGTCTGTGTGTTTAATTTCATAGATGTTTTCTACAATCCTCTGAGAACATTTCCATTATGTATTTGCAGCATCTTTTCCTTTCTTCTGCTGAAGAAATAGCAGTGTTCTCTCTCCTTTCTCATTTGGAATTCTTAGTTCCCTCCATCCTAGTTCTCTCTGCTGAAAACATAGGAATTTCAGAAGAAAGTCATGTTAGAAAAGGAGGCCTTCCTTTGGATGATTGAGTGAGACTTCCGGCAGTGTGGCGGCCTCGTAGTGTTGCTATTGAAGTCAAGATGCTTTATTTTTTTATCGGTCAATCAGAAATGAATTGGGAAATGCATTCTTTAAATGGTGTTGTGGAAAAGTCTCAGAGATGGTTTCCTTTTTTTTTTTTTTTTAAAGATTTTATTTATTTATTAGAGAGAGAGCACAAGCACGGGCAGACAGAGTGTCAGGCAGAGGCAGAGGGCGAAGCAGGCTCCCTGCCGAGCAAGGAGCCCGATGCGGGACTCGATCCCAGGTTGCTGGGATCACGACCTGAGCCGAAGACAGTCACTTAACCAACTGAGCTACCCAGGGATCCCGTCAGAGATGGTTTTCTTTAATAGCTCCATTGAGGAGACGTAAAAACATGTGTAGAGTTTATTAGAGAAGTGTTTGCTCTTTACTTACACTTTACTCACAAAACCAGTGTTTTTGGTCTGCCCGGTATGCAGTCCTTTTCAGAGAGTATTTTCCTATTATTCTCTCACTTCTCATGTAACTTTTCAACTCAGAAGGCAGCTAGGATGGATGGTTGAGACAGAGTATTCAAAATCTCATCTTGAGGGCATATCTGTGAACCCCAGTTTAGGTGGTACTTCTCAGTGGAATATAATAGGAGAGAGAAAATAACGAATAAATTTGAACTGTCGTCCACCGTTACTTGTAGAAACTGCAGTATGAGGTTAAGGATGTTCACTCTAATTGTGTTAAGGGGTACAGGTTTTGGCCTTTGTTCTTGGAAATGCTTTGAATTTCATTTTGCCTCAGTAACAGAGCCACTTAAATGATATACAGATCAGAAGATGAGAAAAAGAACATGGGAAACATCTAATACCATTGCCAAGTATGTTAGGGAAGGATGATCTTTTTTTTTTTTAACTTGTTTTTATCTTTGCATCATCTTCACATATATTACATGACAGAGAATTGCTGGTGATTTCAATTATCGATTACCTCTTATAGTAAGTCATTTTGTTGTCTTGTCCTGAAGTCCTCCTACTTTCTCTGGCATTGATGATAGATCTCTGTTCTTAAGTACCAATATGTTAGTAAATTACTTAGCACTCAGAATGGTCATCCCATGTTTGCTACTAATGCTAACATAATCAGTGGTATTTCAGAAATATTTGAAATCAATATTATGATGTATTACCCTAAAGCTTTGCTTACAAATTCTAGGATCCTTTTTTCTTTAAAAAAAAATTTTTTTTTAAAGATTTTATTTATTTATTTGACAGACAAAGATCACAAGTAGGCAGAGAGGCAGGCAGAGAGAGAGAGGGGGAAGCAGTCTCCCCACTGAGCAGAGAGCCCAACGCGGGGCTCAATCCCAGGACCCCGAGATCATGACCTGAGCCGAAGGCAGAGGCTCAATCCACTGAGCCACCCAGGTGCCCCTCTAGTATGCTTTCTTATCATAAAGAATTCATTTATTGGTATAATCACAGTTAAGCAAAAATTATTCTAGAGCCAACTTTTTCCTTTTTTTTTTTTTTGAAGCCTTTGTTGCCCAGCACTAGAAAGTAGAACGTTAGTACTGCTTAGTAAAGCTCAATGTTAGACACGCATGAAATTTTACCTGATGGCTCGGCATGACAGAA